ACAAAACCATGTACAGATTTCCTGCCAGCTCTTTTTCACATACTTTCACTTCTGTTCCTTGTTCCTTTCTCCATAGGCCAGGCAATAAATGGAGGATGCTCAGGCTCATGTTTTTGCACTGTATAGCAGAGTGGGACAGGGCCAAGGTCTGTTATTGAGCAGAGGATACTTTGCGTGTGTGTGTTCTCAGGATGAGTTTTGCATTTAGGCTCTTGACAAAATCTTCAAGCAAAAATTATCATGGATATATCATTTGGAGTCCCTACATTGGCTCTGGTGTGTTCTCCATGCCAATAATACTGGGCTGCTTGCACTTGCTGAGTGTCCAACCAGTGGCTCAAAACATCTGTTAAGAGAGGTTACTGATGTACCGTACTGGCAACCCGGATGCCAGTGCCAGCAACCCAGCACAAGGCTCCAGCAGTCTTCTCCCCATCTCTTCAATTGCAGTTCTAGTGCAGCAATGCCCTCTAGTAAGTATAGAGCAGAAGTAAGTGTAGCCAAGCACCAGTGGGATCCCAATGGGCTCAAGAGGCAGAATGCTCTTGGAATTCATTTGTGAATAGTATTCATGTCCATTAAAGTAATGGGTATAAGTGCCATTCACCATATCTACTGATGAAATATCTACTGATGACTACTGAGGCAGTCAGTAAATATGAGAAATGAACTCAGATAAAAATCATGATATTTAAAGCACTGTAATAAACCTGTCAGTCTTCTCAGAAAGCAAGAAGCAAATCTCAATTAAATAAGACAGTAGTAGTGAGAGTGAGCCCACCAAGAGGCGGGCCTGGCCCATCCTTTGGGCTGATAGCAGCAGGGTGCTGTGGAAGGGAGGGGGCAGGTCCTCCAGCACCTAGGCAAGCCTGAGCAGAAAGGACCAGGAACACTAATCCAATCTTGGGGAGAAAAGTATGCTGTGATAAACAAGCATGTTTTGAAAAGAGATTTGATTATAAAAACTTCAAGTAAAGATGTTAGGTGTTTTGAAAGAACAGAAGAAGTCTTTCTTGCCCTTCCCTCATCATCCTCAGTGCCATCAATTCTTTTTGAAACTAATAAAAAATTTTTGAAAGTTTCTGCAAAATTGCTAATTTTTCATGAATTCAGTGGCACTGTCAGTGATTTTAGGGAAAGTATACCTGTGGAAACTCAGTGGTTTGAGTAAACTTACTTCCTTGATGTCTTCCTCTTATTTTCTTGACCTCTCAGAGCAACGATTTATTTTGTTCTTATTTCCTATTATTCCTGAACCGCTATAAGTTGCTCGCATCCTCCCACCATTTTTGGCTGAATGTAGGTTTCACAATAGAGTTCTTCTATGCTTTTTTTTTTCTTTTTTTTTCTTTTTTTCTGAATGAGCTTTGATGTATCTGTGTGAGTTTCTCCTGCTATCTGGTACTCTGCATTCAGATCCATGATCTATGCTGCTGGTTTCACACTCATATTTTCTCCTTAGCATGTGTTCTGCAGCACTTCTCAGTTGCATCAAAAAATCTACAGGAAAAACATTAGTCAAGGCTCTCAGTTCCCTCATACTTCTTGCATATACAGGTTTGATAGTTCTCCTGTTGAAAAAAAAAGCAAGTAAAATAAAATGCTCCTTCCTCCACCTCACTCCATGAACCTACCCTCCTCATGTGTTGCCATGAGAAGAGATGGGTGTAGGACTCAAAATCTGTGCAAAACTGAATGGAGAGGTTTAATGTTTGCTTCATGAAGCATTTGGTGATCACTGTCATAGTGTTCTCATACTCTGGAGCAGAGATCTTTGTACGAGGTCTGCTCCAAAGGTAATGCCTTGATTATGTTGGCCCATGACATCAGAAGTGGATGTTGGTGGTATGGTAGTAGAGGTTGAACCTTCCCATCAATATTCCATTACATTTTGCTACTGTGTGACAGATGGCAACAGAGGGGCAGTCTGGCATAATGGCACCTGACAAGGAAGTAAAGGTGTGCCACTGATATCCTCCATGTGGAAAAAATGACACCCGCTGACATACATCGATGCATGCTGAATGTTTATGGAGACCAAACAGTGGATGTGAGCACAGTGAGGCAGTGGGTGCTGTGCTTCAGCTGTGGTGGCAGTGACAGTAAGTCACATCCTCTGGTGCAGGTGTATATGAATGCAACATACAGGCATTAATTGCTGGTGAAAATGCTTAGCTAGCATTGGTGACTGTGTTGAAAAATAGTGCTTTGTAGCTGAGAATTTGCTCTATCCAACAGTGCTGTTGTGTCCTTCGCACCTGTTGTTGTTTCCATGGAAAATAACAGGAGGCATTATTTTCAGAGCGACCAATGTACATAGCTAGAAGTCTGCCTCACCTTCAGTAACTTACCTAAAAAATTCAAATTTTCTTCCTTCTCTTGAACTCACACTTTCTATGGTGCAAGAGAGAATAGTGTACATATTTAGTTAGGCATGGGAGTAAATATTTGGAATATATTTAATAAAAGCTATTTTCTCATTTGAAAAAGGGCTTAGACTTCACTCCTGAACAATGCCATGATCGTATTTTGGGACAGAAACACATCTATCTGTTTTCTCTAGATGTGAACCCTTCAACCCTTCAACGTGGATTTGTACTGTGACTTTTATTACAGTGTGGTGTTATAATAGGATTTGCCCTTCTCCAGGGAAGGCTTTTATGTAAAGGTATATATACATATAAATATGCATATATAGAACAGTTCTGCTGTAGGGTAAAAGGACACTGAGTCCAAAAAGCTAGGTTTTCTATATTTTATTCATAAAAACAGATTTGCAACAATTTATTAAAAATTGATCTCATGCAGTATAAGGTTATACAAGAAATTCTTCATTTACATTTTATTCTGGCAGTTCCAGTCTAGTTTAAAGCATTTGTGCACTAACATCATTGGAAAATGCCATTGGGGCACAGCCTCTTCATAAATTTACAGTACATTTTTGCTGCAGTATAAAAGAACAGAAACATTAAATAGCTATATTCACTTGGTTGGTCTTGTTATCTGCAGTAAAGTAAAAAAAAAAAATGTTATGGGAGAAACTACAGTATCATTGAGACAAAGAATGTACTGCATGGTTTAAACCTAATAAACGTCACACAGTCAGTATTCACGAAGTTACAGACACACACACACACTCACCTCCAATGGTCCGATACTTCTGATTTTTTTTTCCTGCTAAGTTGGAATAATATTTCTACAGAGATCTTTGTGTATACATTATATACAGTTTTGTATTTTTTTTCTCTTTTTAAAAATTAACATTCCTTTTTAAATAAACCAGGCCCTGATGATATTAATAAAGCAAGAGAATACTGTCAACACACATTGAGTGACAACGTCAGTGTTTAGTGCTTAAACAGAGTAATGAGTTCTATTTTATCTGTGTTTATACTTACATGTTTTTGTTCTAAAAGCTACAATATTTCCATAACCTCTCTTACTGTATGTGCCAAGTGAAACATTTTGTGATGCTCCTGATTGTAAGATTCGGATATATATTCACATCGGTTTTGGCCACTATGAGGTGTGTTCTATTTTCAATGGAGATATATGCCAGCTCATCAAAGCTGCAGTTAAGTCCCTCAGCTAATGGACCTTTTTAGCTGTGCTTTAGCCATGGTTAATTTGTAAACCTTTGTAGAAACGTCATTCCCAAGGTCTGGTCTGTGCTGCACAGGCATTGGTCAAAGAGGACTGAGAGCCCAGTGGATGCTTCGGGTATTTTCCCCCTGCTCCTAGCAAGCAGCCCTGGCAGAGAGATGCCACATTTCCAGTTCATTGGAAAAAGAAATTGCACGTGGATCTCACCTGTACCTGGAGGCTCAGCTCCAGAGCTGGTCCAGATGGTGTGCCGCTATCGTTCCTCCTAATTACTTCGGTTCAGGGGATAGAGCTAAAGTGTAAAAACCACGCTTTTGAGTTGTTTTTGATTTTAATTCTTTTTTTTTTTTTTTTTTTTTTTTTTTCCCTTTGAAGATTCAAATGAAATATTCTATTGGTAAATTTGATCTGTTTTCTCTGTTGTCCACCACGACTGTCACACAAGCAGGTACGAAGCAAACATAGTGTATGGCCACATCTATGTGCTCTGCAGGTGTTGCCTGCAGCAGCAAAGTGCTGTGCCCTAACCCCCCACCCCCCAGTCCGCTAAATTATTTTTATTGTAATTGTGTGTGACATAATTCAAACAAACTATGAAAAACAATCCATCCTGTGACATTAAGACTTTACTACCCAGCTGTCCTCAGCCCGAGGACTTTTCCAGGCAGTTTAGTGCATTATGGTTGGTGGTGCTTGCTCTGAGACCTCATTAAACCAAAGCTGCCGATGGCCAGCAGTGGCTGCCATCCCTGGAGAAGGGCAAAGTACTGTGATTCCATCAGCAGCTCTCTCTTGTTGTAACTTCAGCCCCTGTTTGGGCTTCCTGTACCGTTGTTAGTTTGAGGTGACCCTGCAGTCTCAATGGCACCCGAGGAATCATTTCTCACATTCCTTCTTTCCTACAGAACATCATCCCTGAAATGAAAACGAGCAAGACTAACCAGTGCAGAATGTTTCCAGCAATTTAACACAACTCTTGTAAAAATGAGTGTATCTATTTCAATAAATACATTATAGCTCAATCACTGTATTTTTCCTTACATGGATACAGTATAGAATTGCATGTTCTCAGCAGCCACGTAAAGCTCAGTGACATTTGAGTGTTTTTCCTAGAGTCTTTTTTGCTAGATTCGTATTTCCCAGCCTCCTTGTTGTTAGTAGAAATTTGGGAAGAAATGTTTTCAGTGACTTCTACGTGAAGAAATAAAAACTCCATGAATAAGGCTACAGATCAAGCTCCTCGCGTCCTCCTCCTTCGCCTTCCCACATGAGCTACCCTGGCACTCCCGTGGCGGTGGCCTCAGCAGTAGTTTCTCTGTGCTCAGAGCCAATGTCACGTGCTTGTAGCAGAGTTCTATGTCAGATGTTTAGACCAGTCTTTGAGTACTTAAAAGCAGTTCAGGAAGCACTGATCTCTCCTTCCTACAGCCCAGAAACCATCACTCGGAAGGAGGGTGGCACGTGCCTGTGCCGAGGGCTGGCGCTGGGGCTTACGCAGGGGCTTGCACAACTCGCGTCAACTCCTCCTATGGAGGGCAGGTAGGCGTGGTGGAGGATGGGCAGCTGCAAGGACAGCCGACGCTGTATGCTGGGAGAGACAGAGGAAGAGAAGTGTTAGCCAAGGGAAAATCAGAGAATCGCAAAGGCTGGAAAAGACCATTACAATCGTCTAGTCCAACCGTCAGCCCATTCGCAACGTGCACACTAACCATGTCTCTCAGTGCCATATCTACATATTTCTTGAACACCTCCAGGGAGGTGACTCCACCACTTCCCTGGCAGCTTATGCCACTACCTCACCACTCTTTTGGAGAAGTTTTTCCTAATATCCAAGCTGAACCTCCCCTGGTGTGACTGAGGCCATTCCCACTCATTCTATCGCTATTACTTGGGAGAAGAGGACAACCCTCATCTCACTACCACCTCCTTTCAGGGAGTGATAAGGTCTCCCCTGAACCTCCTTTTCTCCAGAAGGCCATTTATTGTGTGCTTGAAATGTTTGCAGGTTGCTGCAAGAATATTTACTGCTGTTAGGATAGAGAGGGTTAATGCTAGGAGTGCCGAGCTCACTACTGTTGAGAGACGCCACCACCACATTATTTCTCTTGGGAATCTTTCTGACAGGCTAGACATGACACAAGAATCTAACGGAGCCTTCTCAGCATCCCACTGCCTTCTGAAATTCCCAGGCACTTTCAGATTAATTGTTTGACTGATGGTACTGGAAAAAGGGAAAGCCTTAAACTGCAAGGAGGGCATATGGCTTAGCAATCCTCTGCTCCTTGCAAAGTGATCTATTGCACGCAAAGCACTGCCTAACTGCACGGACACGCATGAGGTCACAGACGAATTTTTAAGCCATGCATCACTTAGCGCAAGGATGTCAGAATTAAAGATGGCATTTTTGCAGCTTCAGCTAAGGCAAATACAGGCGCACAGAGGGAATAAGTTCAGATTGCTGGGTTGTTCCAAGTGGTTTGTCTGTGCAGTTTAAATCTGCGCTTCTAAGGCGCAGACTGCTCTCAAGTTCCCACACAGTGCTGTGGGGCTGCAAAGTGAAAAGCAGTCTGTTCCACCACCTACAGTGAAATTCAGCATTTAAAAATCCAATTTTCCTAGAAAATTGATGTCATCATAACTGTTAGGGTGCTCTTTTTTTTCTTTTTTTTAAGGGGGTACAAAATCATGATTGTGACCAGCCCAACCAACCCCCCTCCATGCAGAGGACAGAACCATGACAAGGCTCTACTCATGCTCTGGGTATACCAGCACCTCCCACAAAACCAAAACCAAGTTGAGGTTTGTCAGTGCAAGAGATGGTTTTATTAACTGAGATGATATCATACCAGGACTGTTTCTGCACTTGGAGGCATTTGCTCTTGAAATAAGGAGGGATTTTTTTAAAGAGAAGACAGCTGTCAAAGTGACAGCTGACTGAAGGTCAGATTTTTAATTCCAGAGCAAAAATGCCCCCCCATACAAGGCATAGGAACTGTTCAACAGAGTTTTAAATATACATTTCCCTGTAATCTTCCATAATTGCTGCATAGGCTGATCCTTATGAGAAGCATATGTTTGAAACTTGCCTTTGGACAGCCTGTCTGATTCAAACACTTCCATTCTTTATGCCTTGCATTAGGAACTGGAGGCATCTACCACAGCATCCACTGCACTTCTCGGGGACCAAGCAGTAAAGCTATCCAATTCAAAGAGAAAGAGATGTAATGATACTTCTTAGTCTCTTCACTACAGTACTAGAGCTTGCTGTGGGAGATGGGGAAGAGATGGGGAGAAAGAGACTGCAGTCTGTCTGGCCAGGAGACTCTTCCTCAGGATCTTTTCTTTCACAAACTCTTTTTAAAAGTTTACAGCAATATTAACCCCCAGTGATTGTACTGCTGGCCAAGTATCCTTGGGATAAACCAAAATCCACTCATTGTTATTTTACTAGTGTTCCCAACTCCTTTTGGTGGTATCAATGAACTCAGACCTGTTCCCAAGGAGTGCAGAAGGGGTACAGCTTGCTGCTGCCATGTGCTGAATCCTTATTAGCCCATGACTGCAGATTGTAATTCTGCCTCTCATTGCAGGGTCAGGCACAGAATTGCCCGTGCTTATTTTCCCACCGGTGGAAACACTTACTTTGTTCGACTGCTACAGACTTTTCATTAAAGAGCTTTTTAAAGCTATTCCAAGAGAATCTAGTTGCATAATTATCAAGTGAATGGCTTTCTTCCACCCATTTAAGTGCTAGCCATAGCATGGACAAAGCATGTTTATTTGGCTGTGCACACGGTGGCTGCAGTGGGTGGCAAATTTTGCTTTAACTGTATTTAGAATTTACTTTCAGTTGAAAACTTGGTTCCTGGAATTGAGGCGGAGGAGGGTAGCCTGGAGACTAGAACACAATTAAGAACTTAGGCAAGAGTCTTGGGTAGAGATTCATAATAATAAATATCCAACAATCGAAAGTAACTAAACAACCAAAAAGTGCTATTTTCTCCTCAAGTGAAAGTAAATCTTTAGCCTTGCCTCACTCTTCGTGTTTTCTTTCTCTTCCCCAGTATTGATACTTTCCCTCTTCCTCCACTCTGCCACATTTGTCAATGCTTTCCAAGTGGCATGCACTTTGTTTCAGATTGGCTGTACCACACAGATATGTCAGAGTGTACGGTCAGGTAGATGGGGACAGGAATTGGTGAGTACTGGTGCCTTCCTAAAATCACCTCAGGAGGCAGAAAGGAAAGGTTCCACACACCGGGCAATTACTCATCAGGGTGTTAGAATAGCATACGTCCCCAGCTATATACAGAATAGTCATTTATTAAGAATAAATAGATTCGAGAAAAAGCTTGCCTGACAGTGCACATAGGAGCACAATGCAGTGCAGATTATAGAATCACAGAATCATAGAATTGTATGAGTTGGAAGAGACCCTGGAAGGTCATCTAGTCCAACTCCCTTGCAATGAACAGGAACACCTACAGCTACATCAGGTTGCTCAGAGCCCTCTCCAGACTGAGCTTGAGTGTCTCCAGGGATTGGACATCTACCACCTCTCTGGGCACTCAGATGGGAACGCTGTGCATGAAGCTGCAAAGGCAGCAGCGGCATACAAAAGATCTTTTGGTTCTGCTATACAAAACCACTGATGGGATGTATTTGGTAAGAGAGGAGGGTGAAATAAATGCAGCCGCAGTCAAACCTCTTAAGATCTGTGGGAGTGTGTGAACTGTCTAAGTGTTCAGAGATAATTTCAATCAATTCTCCAGCCCATTGATGTTGATTTCTTTGCAGCTGCTGGGAAGCTGGAAAAGTTCTAAAGCTCTACAGTAAAGCAAGATACTGTATTAGCAAGTAAACTAACCAGTCTCAAGCCACTGCATTTTTACAACGTATTTGAGTAGGATAGGATCATATGAAGTACCATCAACAGAGAAACTTCACAGAGGGGACACTTTCATTCCAAGGCATTTGGCTGTAATCCAGTCACAATCAACATTTTTAATAAGAATTTTTGGTTATTAACATTGACAGAACTGGCCCCCACAGGATATCTGTCTGTGTTTTAAATGCTGATAAAAGCAAAATTTTAGCTCAAAAAATATCAAGGTACCTCTCCTATAACGGCAGGCTGAGGGAATTGTTCCTGGAAATGAGATGGCTCTGGAGAGACCTGCCAGTATTTCACAGGAGCTTATAAACAGGAGGGAAAGCAACTTTTTACATAGGTAGACAATGACAATACAAGGGGGAATGATTTTAAACTAAAAGAGGGGACATTTAGATTAGATGTCAGTGGAAATTTTTCAGAGCAAGTGGTGGAGTGCTGGAAGATGTTGCCCAGAGAAGCTATGGATGGATGTTCCATTCTTGAAAGTGTTGAAGATCAAGCTGGATAGGGTCCTGGGAAGTCTGATCTGGTGCCTGATTTAGTGGGTGGCAACCCTCCCCATAGGGGGTTGGAATAGGATGAGCTTTGAGATCTCTTCCAACCTAAGCCATTCTATAACTCAATTACATGGGTTATACAGTGACTAGCTGCTTTGGAAGTTACAAAAATGAAAACATATAGAAAACAGTTTACCAAAGTGGCAGCTTTTAGTGGGGTCTGGCAGAGATCTATTAATTTTACTCTGTGCCAAAAATTAATGTAACTTACGACTGATGTGATGGGAAAACATGCAGGAATGAGGGTGCACAGAAAAATACTCTTAGGTTACAGAAGATTTCCCATGGAATGTGTGGCCACAGTACAGATAAGATGCCTGATGCAACCTTTAGATATTAAAGCACAATCAAGCTGGTATACAAATAATATATCTTGCAGCACACTGTAGTGATAACACAGGTACCAAAGTGCCACATGCATTCACAGTGCACCTATATTTCTGAACAGATCACATGCCCAGGAAAAAGAATGGAAGAAACAGCAAATTTTACATGGCACTGTGAATCACCAACCAGCAGGAGAGGGAGCGAGAGGCAAAGGGAGTTGTTAAGCACCTACATTCACATGGTAAGTCTTCACTTTAATCATAGTCTTAATTTTCCATAGGTGCATGGATATAAATGGATCTTAGCCAAAGGCAAATCCAATGTTTTTCATGATATGATAGAATACAAACAACATGCTGAAAACAATTATGCACTGCATATCCTTGCACTACCGAGCCTGAAAAATTTGCCCTTGGATGTGTCTTTACATTAGACACAGTTGCAAAGCAAGGGATCATACTCAAATGAAGCACTAGTGGTAAAAAGACCACAAAATCCCTAATAAAACTATTCTCTCTACTCTACAAGAATGTTCATGATGAAAGATACCAAATCTCCAGAGTGTTGTCAATAAGACAAAGTTAGGGTGCTTTTTCTGGGGAAGGGGTGTGAATTAACACTTCTACACGTAAATAATTCTGTTAACGTCCTCCTTTCTTCAGTTTGTGGCAAAAAGGAAAAAATTAACTCAGTTGTAACCTCCAGCTCTATTCTTAATAGTAAGAAACAAGTTCAACTAAAGTTACAGGCTATGTAACTACCTCTCTGTCATACACCATGTGTACACAGGGAAATGAAAAAGCACAAACTATAGCTTATCTTTAGGACTTTTAAAATAAAAATGCTATATTTAATAAACCTGAAAGGCAAAAATACTGCCATAAAATTTGGAAAAAGAGCATGTATGAATAAGGATGTTCTTTAAAAACACAAAATTTGGAAAGAGATGAAGAGACGGGATGATAAAACCCTGGCCCTAAAGATTTCTGTGCTTCACTTGGGTGGGTCCATTGAGCCTGAACTGTGCAGCTCCAGTAAACCAAAGTGCTAATACATCCTCAGGGAAGACCCTGACCCTCGGACATGGCACAGACACAGCTGAGCAAGTGCTGAACGACACTGCTCTGATTTAGAAGGACTTCACTAATTACTTTCCAGAAATGTCAGTGACTGCTCAGATTTGTGCTGACCTGTTTCTTAAGACCTTTAGGAAATCTCAGTCTTCTCATCAGTCATTGCTAGCCTAGAGGAACTTCTGTGCCCACCAGAAGGCAAAAGGTCTTTTTTTTTTTTTTTTTAAATCTGTATCAGGAGAACTAGATCATCCAAGTATCAGATTTTTTCTTAGTATCTCTCTTAAGTCACACGTAGATGAGTGCATTCATCTATTTAAACTACATTATTTCTTACAAATGGTGCTGGAAAAAGATGCATATATTCATATATTCTAATAGCTAAGCATTAAGGCACTCTGCTAACCTCCTGAAGTCTCAAGAGCTTGCTCAGTGAGGGCTCTGTTTTTGTGAAATAAGATATTTCAGTAAATGGAGGCTTCTGTGTGTGTACACACGTGTGTGAAGGTTAGCTTCTCTACTGCTCTGGATTATTTTTGTGCAGTGCCAAAACACAGTTAAAACTCCATGTGTTTTCGTGGACCAGGTAATATGAGGCAATAACTTCTATCGGAAATCAGGTTTGCTGACACTAATGTAACACATGACTCAGACTGGTAATTTCTTTAATTTATTCTGTTTAACAAGCTTTTAAGTTACCCAGGTACCAAACAGGAGTCTGACAGCTCTCAGCTCAGATAATATGCTGCCAATGTAACTAGGATACCTCAGGGAAAGAGCTTATTCTAGGTCCAAACAAGCATAGTGCTCCCTTCATCTTTGTCCCACAGCAAGACTTGTTGAGATCTTAGAGAATCATGTCAAATCATATCATGGAATCATAGAATCATAGATTGGGTTGGATTGGAAGGGTCCCTAAAGATCACTGAGCTCCAGCCCCCCGCCATAAGAAGGGCTGCCCCCCACCAGACTGCTGGGGCATCAAGAGTTTCTCTGGGCAGCCTGTGCTAGTGCCTCACTACCATCTAAGTAAAGAATTTATTTCTAATATCTAACATAAGTTTCCCTTCTTTTAGTTTAAACCATTCCCCCTTATCCTATCGCTATCAGACTCTGTAGAACATCTGTCCCTCTCTTGCTTATAAGGCTCCCTTCAAGTGCTGGATGAACGCAATCAGGTTTCCCTGGAGCCTTCTCTTCAGGCTAAAAGAGCTAAACTTTTTCAATAGGAGAAGTGCTCCAGCCCTCTGATCATCTTCACTGCCCTTCTCTGGACCCACTCCAACAGTTCCACATCCTCCCTTTGCTGGGGTGGGGCCTGGACAGTGTTCTCCAGATGGAGCCTTATGAGGGCAGAGTAAAGGGGGACAATCACCTCCCCCTCCCTGCTGGTTACCCCTCTTTTGATGCAAAGTGTAATACATGAATTCATTATATAGGTTTCTAGAAAGCGAAGCTGATACCATAGGACCCTCTCTCCTCTATGACTCTTAACTGGTGCTTTGTGCCATACTCTGATTCCAGATACATTATTGTTTCTAGTGAAAAGCTTTCCATGCCCCACTCAGATTCAGCTGCTATGGTAACACCGAAAAGCTCAAAGACTGTTTTTATTTCTCAGTTAGATTAAGACCAGAACAACAAACAAATGACTACGCACATCATGAACCACTATGTCTTGTGCATGGAAAGACTTGCACTGTTAACAATGGTCATAAAGTGGGTGTGTACCCATGTTCATCCTCATCTCTACTGTATGCTGGTGCTTAGACCTTGCACTATGGGTGTTACTGACAAGAGAAAAAAGTACGTTAGGTTGTTTTGGTGCACTGAAGGACCTAGTGACTCTAAAACCATCTGATTTTGGTGGGGATGGTGAGCTGCAAGCAAGGAGGCATCACAGGACAGCAATTCTGCTTGCTGGTTCTTCAGCAGGTTGCCATTCACACCTCCTGTGCTGATGTTTCAGCTGCGCCTGTAGGTGGGACTGGCTGGAAACATTTTCAGTGAAGGACTTCCCATAAAAACAATTGAAAGAGAGATATAGCTTTTGATGCAATGTACTCATCTTAATATTTTATCAGCAGAGTGGGTGAAGCCCATGACGGAATTTACATTTCAAAAAGTGTGAGCACACAAGCACATGTATACATGAAAGACTGCGGAACGCCTCTTTCTCTACCAGTACATAAAATCATGCTACTTACTGTTCTGGAGAGTTGATGTCTTCTATAGGATCTTTGCTTGTTCTGGAAGGGTCTGATGTGCCCCATTGTGCTGGTGGATTTTGATCAAGATGATTTTTCAAGATTGCTTTCTCACCATCTAGATGGATAACACATTCAATTTTATTTTAGTGTGACCAAGTGACCTCTGTAAAACTGGTTCATGATAAGATATCGCAGATGTAAATTGTGCCACAAAATAAAACTCATTCTGCTTATATTGCAACATATGCTCAGGTTTCCTTGTGAGTCTTTGATGCTCTTAACTTTGGCAATATGACTTTCATTGCAATTATCATGAAGAAACAAAAGTAAAAAATTCTCTTCTGTTCTTCTTTGCTTTCTACCTCCCCCCTCAACTCTACTTCTCTCTTTTTAATATTTTGTTCCTTGCCTCTATGTAGCCCTATCATGCTCCTTCCCCCAGTTTATTCTGTGAAAAAATATAACAGCTGCATCATCATACTGTCTTTCCTTCAAATATTGTTACCTTTCTATATTAAAAAACACTCTAATTTAAATATTTACCCAGAAAAACTGTAATTTCATCGATTTATGAAACTCCGGTATGCTTGATATCTCATAAGAAATTAAGTGCTGTCATTCAACTATCTGCTATGATTTAGCACAGAAAAATCATTCATATCAGCTGCACTGGCCCATGGATTGTCTGCAAGAAGGACAGCTAATGATTTCATTAAGCTTTCTTCTGCAGGTTTTTTTTTTTTTTTTTTTTTTTTTTTTTTTAACTGCAGAGTGGTAACAGAGAAGATCATCATTTTCCCTGCAGGTAGCATCACTTAATTCCCATGGGAGTCCCAGGAGGCTGAGGCTAGCTGTGCTGAGGTCTGTGGCATATATCCATCCCTCTCTGCAGGAGGAGAAGAACACAGCCATTTAAAGAAGGCTGTCTTAACTGGATATCCCTTCTGTTCTTGTCTGCTTTTCCAGCGTTTCCTGCTGTGCTAAGCCAAGGAAAGTTACAAGAAAAACATCTGAGTAATGAGGACAGTGCAGAGTTTTCATAAATAATTACAGAGCTGCTCCAAATCCATCACAGGCAGTTGTTTGCTACGCACACAGAAACAGTGGTTGCTGCGGGCCTTAAGGCAGCATGGAGAAGGACTCAGAGGTAGACACTAGAAAAGGATCCTGGAGGAACTGAATGAAAAAATAAGCATGAGAGGGAAAAGTAGGAAAATACCTGAAAAAGAAAACCAACAAAAATACCATGGAAAGCCCAGTGCATACTGAAGGCTTAAGCTACATTTCTGCTCTACTAACACCAAGCCCCAGATAACAGGGTATCCACCACCTCTCTGGGCAGCACTGGGATGGGATGCATGGAGGGGAAGTGGAAGCCCATCCCTGGAGACACTCAAGATCAGGCTGAGTGGGGCTGTGAGCAACCTGACGTAGCTGTAAGTGTCCCTGCTCATTGCAGGGGAGCTGGACTAGGTGGCCTTTAAGGGTCCCTTCCAACTAAAATGATTGTCTGATAAAATTCATATCCCATTACTTTACCAATGTACAGACTGAGGACTGCTACAGCTCAGAAGTGCAAAAAGAAGATTCTTATGTTGCACGGAAGGCAAGGGGCTGGATGAGACAGGAGACAACCAACGCACACAAAGCTGCTTCTGTTAAGTCAACAAAAATGTCAGGAGAAGAGCTAAGGGATTCATGTGTAGCAAGAAGTGAGGTGCTTTAAGAGGAGATGTGACAGGATTCAGTGATGTGAAGGGAGGACAAGAAGGACTCAAATCTGACAGCGGCTAAGATAAGAAGAAGTGAAACCTATCATCTCAGGACAGCCTGAAGTTTGCTGGTGTGGCACTTGCTGTCACAAGAGCTCAGTTTTTGTTTTCCATATATCACATTTCTATGTATATTGAGCTTGACATTTGCATAAGAGCCTTGTGATGTCTATAAACAGACAACTAAAAAAACCTCTTATTTCCATGATTAAAAACAATGTCCAATGCTGAGCTGATCCAAGCTGACAATGAAAAATGCTGACTTGATGACAAAGACCAAAGTTAAAATTCAAATAATCCCTGAAAATAGGGATGGAAAAGGCCTATTATTTTACCATTCCAGGGCCCCAAGTCTTTTGGCCAAGAGAAATAACTTGCAAAGCCACTGAAGGTAGAACTCTTCACCAAATGACTGGAATACACAAGTGCCAGACCTTGGGAGTACGTGATTTCAGGGATTAATCTGTATTGTATGCCCCAGATGGATTTATTATGCTTTCAGTTGTGGGGTGTGTGTGTGTGTGTGTGTGTGTGTGTGTGTGTGTGTGTGTGTGTG